TTTTCTTAGCTTCATCAAAATATTACTTCTACTTTAATTATGATTTTTACTTTATATTCTATATAAAAACACAAACAAGTGAGGGATTTCTAATTCAATTTTATTCTGTTCACGATATTCAAGCTTGCCTTTTGCCCTTTTAGCTTACGAAATTTTTTTAGTTGAAGCAACTTTTGTTAATTTCATCCACAGCAACTCTGTCCTCCGAGTCCCATTAAGGAGGGGTTGGTTGTTATGATCAATTTTAGACTATTTATGAGGTAAATCTCCTGGAAATATTAGCTCTGTATAAAACTTTAGGAAAAGAATGATTGCACTTAGTGTACAAAACGTGGCCCCCGGTAAATTGCGCAAAAATAAGGTATAGAAAGTAGCCTAATGAAATTAATAAAACAATTCTTCAAGGTCTATATCGCGACTTTGCAAAATTACAGAAATTAAAAGTGAGTATTATTAAAGAACGAGGCTGTGTTTTGTAAGAGGGGTCAATGCAAATCACGAATCTCTATTATTATTCAAAGTTATTCCGATTTTTAGAGCTGAAATACATAGTGAGCGCATGCTTGCCCAAATTTCTCAAAAGGACAGAAGGTGTAGAACTGTTGGAATATAACATATTTAAGGGAGAATTTTGGGCAAGCCTGCGCTCGGGGTAAACTTTTTGAAAAAAGGTACAAAACGCCGACAGTTTTCTTTACTGTTTTCGGGTATTTACATGTCATTGACCTCATTGTGTCCTGTTTAATATTCCAATTTACCATGTGATTTGCAGACTCAGGTAACTCTGTGAATACAAAAAAATCAATAAACCACGTCGTTGTAGATCCGATAAACATTCCGTCGAAAGGCGTCCAACTTAGACCGTTACATGCACATGTATATTTTCAATCAATCAACATAGAATTATTTCTTTTTGACAAGTGTTTTAATAGGGTGATGGAATATTAAATTGAAAAAAAATGTAACGATATTTAATTTAAGTCCTTGGATTTAAAGGGCACGTTTGCAGGCTCAATGAGTTTCAAAGATGTAGCTCCCATCTTCGAAGTAGCTTCATACCTCAAAGTGTTTTTGACTGTAAAAATATAAGGGCACGTGGTAGAAATACGTAGATTGTTAAACACTGGCATGGAATTCTTACTGGTAACCCCCCCCCCCCCCAAAAAAAAAAAAAATAAGGCAATCGCACATACAATTAATAAAATTATTTTAGTGACAAAATACGGTATCACCACTTGCAGCATCACAAAAAAAAAATATTCCGTACACCATTATTTGTGAGAAGCACGGGGTATTTACTGTACTTTAAAAAGTACAGAGAGAGAGAGAGAGAGAGAGATTTAAAATTTCAATACGGTACTAATCTTTTCTAAAATATAGAAGTTTTTCTTAAATATGATTTTTCTCCGTTTTCATATACAAGTAGGCTAGCTCAGTTTATTTAATTAAGTGTTAAATTTCCACCTTGCAACGACCACAAGATAGGGGATCTGGATTTATAGGGGTCATATACATCTCAAAAATCCTCCCCAGTGCCATTTTTACTAAAAAAAAATTGGCGTAACCCTTGAAGAATTCTTTGTTTATTTTTCTGTATACAGTTTGTATTTTGTATTAAATTCCAGAAGCCATTATAACTGGCTAAATATTACAAGTTTTCATAGACCCAAAGCGAATTTAGGTCTATGATGTTTTCAATCGATCGATGAAATGCCCCGCCTACTCTGAATATTAATGTGACACAATTAAAACCCAACTCGGACAAGCGCAACATTCCGGAATTAACACCAAGTATATGGTTTTTTAAATTACCATTTATAAAACTAAGACGCCGTTTTCAGTGTGAATTTTTACAATTAATATACCACAAAGATAACAAAGTATGAGTTAGGTGTAAAATGATTAACAATTGAGTTAATTAGATCAAGTTAGAGGGGTCCGTAAAAGGGGCCACGGCACTATGCTTAAGTGGAAACATTCTTTAATATTTTTTTATGGAGGGTTTTTTTTTTATTTCTGGGGTATATTAAAAAGGTATTGTCTATATATTATTAAATATCATATACAGTATCAGTGGTTTATAATTAAACAAGAGATGTTAATGCCCTCCTCTCCAAAATAATTTAAATTTATATAACTCCAAAGGGCATAATTCTGTCTAAAATAGTGCGAATGTAGCCAAAACAGAAGTTGACCTTAATACTCTTATGATAAAGTTGTATATCAAATTTCATTACAATATGTGAAATCTCTGTAAAGAAAATGAGCAAAAACTCATCTGCAAATAATTGTTAAGTCGATGGGGCTTAACTCTGTCCAAAACTAGAACTGTCCAAACGGGACAAAATACCCCCTGCTGGGTTTTTCAGAAGTAAGTTTTTCCATAATAAAGATATGTATCAAACAAGAATTATGAAATTTTTCTTCAAGTGACCTTGAATTCCCCAAATGACATTAGGTCAAGGTCATGACACACCCTTGGGTCATGGGCAATCTTTGTGTGAAATGAGAACCTACCAAGTTTACCCATAAGAAAGATATGGACCGGACACTAATTATGAATTTTTTCTTCCAGTGACCTTCAACTTCCCCAAATGACCTTGGGTCAAGGTCATGACACACCCTTGGGTCATGGGCAATCTTTGTGTGAAATGAGAACCTACCAAGTTTATCCTTAAAAAAGATATGGACCGGACACAAATTATGAAATTTTTCTCCAGTGACCTTGAACTTCCCCAAATGACCTTGAGTCAAGGTCAGGACACACCCTCAGGTCATAAGCAATCTTAGTGTGGAGTATTGGAGACTAATGTTCCTCTGTAAGAAAGATATGGACCGGACACAATTGCACAGACGGACAAGGTGATTCCTATATACCCCCCCCCCCCCAAACTTCGTTTGCAGGGGGTATAATAATGCGATTGTACCCAAAACAGAACTTAACCTAGATATTTTCATGATAAATCTGTATACCAAATTTTATTTCAATATGTGAAACCTCTGTGAAAAAAATGAATGGAAACTGCAAATAATTGGAATTTTTCTAACTCCTAGGGGCATTACTCTGTACAAAATGAATTGGTGCTATTGTACCGAAAACAGAACTTAACCTAGATACTCTCATCAAATTATGTATACTAAATTTTATTTCAATATGTGCAACTGCTGCGAAGGAAATGAACAGAGACTTGGTGGGCCGACAGACAACAGGAAACCAATGTGCTCACCCTTCTTTGAAGAGGGGCATAAAAAGAACATATTTAAATGGAAGCAATTTCATTAAAGTACATCTATATATTCATTGTTTGCTTAAAATTCAATCTATTTAAGGTTTGCAAGTTTCTTTGGTATCTTACTTTCCTACATTAGACAAAGTACAACAAAACTCCTTTATTACGAACATGGATATAGCGAATTCACGGGTGTTGCTAAAACGCGGAACGGAAAATGGAACGGAGAACGGAACGGAACGGAAAACGGAAAATATTTGTCAAGCAAATAACAAAGATTGGATGTAAATCAGATAAAAGAGCAATATTCTTGTTGTAAAAGTCATTTGTAATAAAAATTTATTGTAAACTATTATATATTTATGAGTCATCCACACATACAAAATGGTACTGAAATTCAACCCCCCCTCACACACCCCCCCCCCCCTCACACACACACAAATTGGATTTTCGTGTTTGGGCAAAGGACATGTCCCCCTTTTTTGCTTGTCAAATTGGTTGTATGTTGGAAATTTTTTACTGACCGGCCCTGACCCCCACCCCCTCTTTCAATTTGTTTCCAATGTCAATTTAATGTCTGTAAAGACAAAAATAACTAGTTTTGATATTCAGATTATGCACGCAGTGTCGTCGAATTCGCGAATGATGAAAGGGGAAGTGGCAGTTTCTGGTCTGTGTAGGGAGTCTAGGGACCCACAGCCACATTAAAAATTAATTTATTAAACCTTATGTATTTTTTGGACACAAAAAGGGGGGGGGCAGACCTATCACATTTTTACGGGGTCATTCATAAACACCCTCCACCCCACTCCACCCCACCCCCCTAACATACACACATATGTACAGCAAACAAACAAAATTTAAATTTAAAGATTCTGCATTATATCTACCACATCATTAGTGAAAGTTTTCCAGCTTAGTCTATCCAGAAAACGACTCTATTTTGAAAAAAAATTTTAACAACCAGTGTGTATAAGAGATGTTTGTTCGAGCTTGCAGTAAAGATTTGCCCTAAAAGCAATCTTAATATATATATTTTTTTTACATTTTATTTCTCTCTCCATGGTTCAATAAGATATCAAATAGTTGCCCCCCCCCCCCCCCCCCAGTCTTAACCTTTTTTCTAAGGAAATGTTCGTTCAAGTTCACATCCTCACACTTTTGTGAATGTAATTAATGTAGTAAGTTAGTGTAAAAAAATAGTACTGAAAGATGTTGGAGTTGGAACTTATCCCCCTCCCGAATCAAACAATTGTTTTCTTTTTGTGTTTTAGCCCCCTCCCGACCCGAATCAAACAATTGTCTTCTTTTTGTGTTTTTGCTTGTCAAATACTTTTCAAGTTCGTTTACCCCCCCCCCCTTTTCAAATTCGATTCTAGGTGACTGCTATTTTAGCGATTTTCGTAAATAAGAGACTGAGCATGACAAAATCAACTTGTATTTAATAGTGGGGGATTGAATGTGTTCAAGATATATCGTTTATGATAAAATTTGTGTATTTTAAGTGGTTTAATCCAAAATAATATATTCCGTTTTCCGTTCCGTTCCGTTTTCCGTTCCGTTTTCCGTTCCGCGTTTTTAGCAACACCCCGAATTCACAGATATAGCAAAGTTATTTTAAATTCCAAGCTATATAAGGAATTCCTTGTACTGATATATAAAGATTTACAAATATAGCGAAGTAATTTTATTGGTATTTTACTTGTATTTCCAAATGGAAATGTGTACAGAGACAAAGTATCGAAACCAAAGCCAGAAAATATTCTGGATATGACCAAAGCAGATAAGGAAAAGCTTAAGCAGATTCCTATGTCTACCATCGATTGCTCAGATGAAGGAAACACTTTCAAAGCAGCCGCAGCAACAACAGACACATACAATCAGGTCAGAAACTTTTACAAAAAAATTGTTGTAGATCCATCGTACGCAACTGCTGAACACAATATTTTAGTGTACCGTTTTAAGGACGGTAACGGCGCAATCCACGATGGTCACAACGATGACGGTGAGTACGGTGCAGGAAGGCGGCTTATCCAAGTTCTCCGATCGATGAATGTTACGAACATGACATGCGTGATCTCCAGATTCTATGGGAAACATTTGGGTTTTCGCAGATTTCAAATTATGGAAAACTTGATGGCAGACATGGTTCTTGCACATAGTGGCTAATTATGTGCTCAAGTCAGGTAATCAGACTATAAGAACTGCCGTGTTCAGTGTTATAATGCGCATTAATCATCCATATAACTACCTCTGATACAACATGCCCACTGGCCAGCAAATCATTTGCAATATAGTGTATTTATTTATTTCTTTTCAATACCGGGTTGTATAGTAAAAGCAACTTTTTTCACAATTATTAATAATTTTTACCATTTATACTTATGCAACAATGTCTAAAATGAGTTTAACCTCTATTGAGCAATACGGAATTTTCAGTTCCGCTGTATTTTTGAGTCTAAAATTTGACACCCTCTTCCTTTCCGGTATTGAATCCGATTCCAGATGCCAGTCGCATTTTTGGTTAAAACCTAAGGTACTCTGAATAAAATGAACTACCCTTTTTTGTACATATGCTGCATGTTTTTTCTTTTGTGTTTTTGTTATATACTTGGCTCTATGTTAGGAAAGGTTTTTTTTTTCGTTTACTTGCAACTGCAATTGTACGACAATGTTTATCGCACACAGATTCTTTTTATGGTGAGCTTGTGTTTATGTACTACAGCTAATGAAATAGATTATGTCTTTTGAAATATCTTGCATATCTCTAAATGTAAGGGGGTTACGTTTATTTAGTAAAAGAAGATGCTTGTTTACATGGTTTAAAGAGAAATTTCCAGATCATTTTATTTACTTACAAGAAACACATTCTACTGAACTAGATCAACAGATATGGAAAACTGAATAGGAATCTGATATTATTTATTGTCATGGAGAATCAAATAACAAAGGAGTAGCTATTTTATTTCCACATAATATAGATTATAAAATAGTTGAAAAAACAAGTGATAATATTGGCAGATTTTTAAAAGTATCCATTTCAATAGATGATTCAAAATTTACATTAATAAATATATATGCTCCAACAAAAGATAACTCAGTTGAACAAGTTGAATTTTTAGAATTTTTATTGATTCAGGTATGATTTAAGAATTCTAGAAGAACAAATCGTAGAAAAAAATTATTTTGAATTAGTTATGAGCGTCAGTGCTGAGTGTCGCTCTTCAAAGTGACAGTTTCCTATTTTCTCACACCTGACTTATATATCGTCTGTAAAACAGGTATACAGTAAAATTTCTCGCCGGTTTCAGTTGATATAGATGATTCAGGTATGATTTAAGAATTCTAGAAGAAAAAATCGTAGAAAATAATTATTTTGAATTAGTTATGAGCGTCAGTGCTGAGTGTCGCTCTTCAAAGTGACAGTTTCCTATTCTCTCACACCTGACTTATATATCGTCTGTAAAACAGGTATACAGTAAAATTTCTCGCCGGTTTCAGTTGATATAGATGATTCAGGTATGATTTAAGAATTCTAGAAGAAAAAATCGTAGAAAATAATTATTTTGAATTAGTTATGAGCGTCAGTGCTGAGTGTCGCTCTTCAAAATGACAGTTTCCTATTTTCTCACACCTGACATATATCGTCTGTAAAAGAGGTATACAGTAAAATTTCTCGCCGGTTTCAGTTGATATAGATGATTCAGGTATGATTTAAGAATTCTTGAAGAAAAAATCGTAGAAAATAATTATTTTGAATTAGTTATGAGCGTCAGTGCTGAGTGTCGCTCTTCAAAGTGACAGTGTCCTATTTTCTCACACCTGACTTATATATCGTCTGTAAAATAGGTATACAGTTAAATTTCTCGCCGGTTTCAGTGGAAATAGATGATTTAGGTATGATTAAAGAATTCTAGAAGAAAACATCGTAGAAAATAATTATTTTGAATTAGTTATGAGCGTCAGTGCTGAGTGTCGCTCTTCAAAGTGACAGTGTCCTATTTTCTCACACCTGACTTATATATCGTCTGTAAAACAGGTATACAGTAAAATTTCTCGCCGGTTTCAGTTGATATAGATGATTCAGGTATGATTTAAGAATTCTAGAAGAACAAATCGTAGAAAATAATTATTTTGAATTAGTTATGAGCGTCAGTGCTGAGTGTCGCTCTTCAAAGTGGCAGTTTCCTATTTTCTCACACCTGACTTATATATCGTCTGTAAAACAGGTATACAGTAAAATTTCACGCCGGTTTCAGTTGATATAGATGATTCAGGTATGATTTAAGAATTCTAGAAGAAAAAAACGTAGAAAATAATAATATTTTGAATTAGTTATGAGAGTCAGTGCTGAGTGTCGCTCTTCAAAGTGACAGTGTCCTATTTTCTCACACCTGACTTATATATCGTCTGCGAAACAGGTATACAGTAAAATTTCTCGCCGGTTTCAGTTGATATAGATGATTTAGGTATGATTTAAGAATTCTAGAAGAAGAAATCGTAGAAAATAATAATATTTTGAATTAGTTATGAGAGTCAGTGCTGAGTGTCGCTCTTCAAAGTGACAGTGTCCTATTTTCTCACACCTGACTTATATATCGTCTGTAAAACAGGTATACAGTAAAATTTCTCGCCGGTTTCAGTTGATATAGATGATTTAGGTATGATTTAAGAATTCTAGAAGAACAAATCGTAGAAAATAATTATTTTGAATTAGTTATGAGCGTCAGTGCTGAGTGTCGCTCTTCAAAGTGACAGTGTCCTATTTTCTCACACCTGACTTATATATCGTCTGTAAAACAAGTATACAGTAAAATTTCTCACCGGTTTTAGTTGATATAGATGATTTAGGTATGATTTAAGAATTGTAGAAGAAAAAATCGTAGAAAATAATTATTTTGAATTAGTTATATATGAGCGTCAGTGCTGAGTGTCGCTCTTCAAAGTGACAGTGTCCTATTTTCTCAAACCTGACTTATATATCGTCTGCAAAAATAGGTATACAGTTAAATTTCTCGCCGGTTTCAGTGGAAATAGATGATTTAGGTATGATTAAAGAATTCTAGAAGAAAAAATCGTAGAAAATAATTATTTTGAATTAGTTATATATGAGCGTCAGTGCTGAGTGTCGCTCTTCAAAGTGACAGTTTCCTATTCTCTCACACCTGACTTATATATCGTCTGTAAAACAGGTATACAGTAAAATTTCTCGCCGGTTTCAGTTGATATAGATGATTTAGGTATGATTCAAGAATTCTAGAAGAAAAAATCGTAGAAAATAATTATTTTGAATTAGTTATGAACGTCAGTGCTGAGTGTCGCTCTTCAAAATGGCAGTTTCCTATTTTCTCACACCTGACTTATATATCGTCTGTAAAACAGGTATACAGTAAAATTTCTCGCCGGTTTCAGTTGATATAGATGATTCAGGTATGATTTAAGAATTCTTGTAGAAAAAATCGTAGAAAATAATTATTTTGAATTAGTTATGAGCGTCAGTGCTGAGTGTCGCTCTTCAAAGTGACAGTGTCCTATTTTCTCACACCTGACTTATATATCGTCTGTAAAATAGGTATACAGTTAAATTTCTCGCCGGTTTCAGTGGAAATAGATGATTTAGGTATGATTAAAGAATTCTAGAAGAAAAAATCGTAGAAAATAATTATTTTCAATTAGTTATATATGAGCGTCAGTGCTGAGTGTCGCTCTTCAAAGTGACAGTTTCCTATTCTCTCACACCTGACTTATATATCGTCTGTAAAACAGGTATACAGTAAAATTTCTCGCCGGTTTCAGTTGATATAGATGATTCAGGTATGATTTAAGAATTCTAGAAGAACAAATCGTAGAAAAAAATTATTTTGAATTAGTTATGAGCGTCAGTGCTGAGTGTCGCTCTTCAAAATGACAGTTTCCTATTTTCTCACACCTGACTTATATATCGTCTGTAAAACAGGTATACAGTAAAATTTCTCGCCGGTTTCTGTTGATATAGATGATTCAGGTATGATTTAAGAATTCTTGTTGAAAAAATCGTAGAAAATAATTATTTTGAATTAGTTATGAGAGTCAGTGCTGAGTGTCGCTCTTCAACGTGACAGTGTCCTATTTTCTCACACCTGACTTATATATCGTCTGTAAAACAGGTATACTGTAAAATTTCTCGCCGGTTTCAGTTGATATAGATGATTTAGGTATGATTTAAGAATTCTAGAAGAACAAATCGTAGAAAATAATTATTTTGAATTAGTTATGAGCGTCAGTGCTGAGTGTCACTTTTCAAAGTGACAGTGTCCTATTTTCTCAAACCTGACTTATATATCGTCTGTGAAACAGGTATACAGTAAAATTTCTCGCCGGTTTTAGTTGATATAGATGATTCAGGTATGATTTAAGAATTCTAGAAGAAAAAATCGTAGAAAATAATTATTTTGAATTAGTTATAAGCGTCAGTGCTGAGTGTCGCTCTTCAAAGTGACAGTGTCCTATTTTCTCACACCTGACTTACATATCGTCTGTAAAACAGGTATACAGTAAAATTTCTCGCCGGTTTCAGTTGATATAGATGATTCAGGTATGATTTAAGAATTGTAGAAGAAAAAATCGTAGAAAATAATTATTTTGAATTAGTTATGAGCGTCAGTGCTGAGTGTCGCTCTTCAAAGTGACAGTTTCCTATTTTCTCACACCTGACTTATATATCGTCTGTAAAACAGGTATACAGTAAAATTTCTCGCCGGCTTCAGTTGATATAGATGATTCAGGTATGATTTAAGAATTCTTGAAAAAAAATCGTAGAAAATAACTAGAGCCAAGCTCGTTGCAAAGCAACGAGTAAGTCTTCCGTTGGAGCTGTGGACAGGATGTACAGACCTTGGGTCAAGGTCACTGCACTTTCTTATGTCAACAACATTTCTTCCCAGCATGAGCCTCCATTAAATTTTAATTTTAAAGTTATGCTTAAACATTTTTTTCTTTGTCAGTGACCTTGATTTGCCAGAAAGACATTAGATCAGGGTCATGACAAAACCTCCAATTATACGTAATGTATGTGTCAAGTAAGAGCCTCCAATGATTTTAATTTACTAATTCATAGCTTAGTATAGAAAATATTTCTTCTGTCAGTGACATTGATCTTGACAGAATAACCTTGGATCTGTGTCAAGACA